ATTTTTATAGTGGTTGGAGCTAGTATGAGCCCAGAGTACATAATTGTTGATGACACCTCTATTAAGAAGAATCATGAGTGTAATAATAAATGATGCTAAACAAAAACAAAAAATAAAGAATACTAATTTTCCAGGTATTATTAATGTTGAAAAGTTGGAGATATACAATTCAGTAAACGAAAGATGTACCTCTACATCAGAAAAAAAAGTATTTAAGTATATTAAAATGTCTAAAAGAATAAAACTTAGACTGTTCTTATAAAGAAAAATAAAATAATTATCAAAATAAATTAGATCGAAAACAACTAAATTGTAATTTTGAAAAAAAATTAAATACAAATCGAAATGGGCAAAAACAGAAATGAAAAATAGAGTGTGCAGAGCAATTAAACATGTGAGTGCAAGTCATGCGAATATGTCCAAGTCCGATGGCGAGTTGATCACGACAACCTGCTGGCCGTCATCACGTCGACATTTCATTTTGCCCGTATTGAACCAGACGTATCTGATCTTCTCCGCAGACCTCTTCTGTCGGACTAACCAATATAAATGTCGGTTGGTTACGGCCTCGCTTACATATACTTTGTGAGCATCATTTTCCTGCCATCCCAAGTGTCGAGTTGAGAAGTAGTGGGTCGACCCTGCGGCCGGGAGACCTTCTTGGGACAAACCCAGCCTCTATAAAGTGGGTACTCTTAATTAAGTAATTAATTAAGGGAAAAAACCTGGTAGTTGAGCGTGATATTGGCCCGGCACTTCCCAAAATAACTGTTGGCCTTGTAACAGTACTTCCTCAAATTGTAATGAACCCAAGACCCTTCATGGGTTTTTAGTAATACAGGTTTAAAGTGCAAGACATGAAAAAATAGAAATACCTGATGCGGGCTACCAAGGAAAAACTTTTTATAGCCAAAAAAGCCAGATTATTTCCATCTTTTTTTGTTTTTCACCTATAGTTCCTAAACGGTGCAACAAAGCGAAAAACTTTTTATCTGTTCTTTAAACAATAACGGAAAAATATGGGCTTAGAGATTGATGGAGCTCTGCTGCTCACGCCTTTTTTTTTTTTTTTTTTTTTTGTATATCCCCAGGATTAACCTATTTCATTTAAAATATTTAACCTATTTTCTTTTAAAATATTTAACCTATTTTCTTTTAAAATATATTTTAGCTATACCAATCCAAATAAAAATAATTATTTTTATACATACTTGGAGGGAAGCACGTAAAAATGCAGCTATCTTATCACATTCTTCTCTTCTAGTGCAATAAACAATCACAGAATCACAATTACAAAATCTATTGGAATGAAGTAAAGTAAGTAATGATTCTCTTCTGTCATATTCAGAAGAAACAGTAAGAAATAAATTATCAGGTAAAGGCGTGTCAGATATTATTGAAGAAGTGTCGTCAATTCCGAGCTGTGACATCACAGTTTCCAAAGTTGTAACTGATGCAGTGGCAGTTAAACCTAACAATGTTGAAATTCCCATTTTTTCTCTCAGGACCTGAAAATAATTCAAGGTACATATATATTGCATAAACATTTAAAAATTATATCAAAATATATATGATAATGAATATTATAAATAAAAAAATCAGTCTCATCCAGAGGTACGCCCAACCTGTCTAATTAAGTTAACCTCCAAATGAGACTGCTGCTAATAAATCTACATCATTGCATTGCGGCATGCAGAGTATTTCTGCAATATATTGAAGGTGAGGATATAGATATTATTCTAATTCAAGAACCTTACCTGATAAATAGCAGGATCATGGGATTGGTAATTTAAGGCTATGGAATTATTTCTGTTGCAACCAATGCCAGGGCCTGTATTCTTTATAAAAAAATAATTAAAATTACTGCCTCATTGGCAACTTTGCTCTGGCAGCAGCCAGCTACACTCCATCAGGACACTAACACTATCAAAAGAGGACAATAACCATAGTGATGGGTTACATACCCTATGAGTCTAGCGATCCCGCTCAAGATTTGGAATTTATTATCAAGTCTACAGAAGAAAGCATCCTGATGGAACGGACTGAATGCCAATGCCCACAATATCCTATGGGACAGCAGCGATAACAGCCTGAGAGGTGAGGTTCTTCTAGATTATATTATTAATAATAATGTACACATCTTCAAAAACCAACCTTCTGTAATAGATTAAGACCAGAGGTCACAGATATCACAAATCTGTAAGAAGAAGTAAAAGATGGTCTTGGAAGAACTTCTGCCAATAAATAAACAATATTCCTACTGTATGTTGTATTAACAAAATACTTTCCAAGCATAAAGACCATGGAATACAGGGTACACTCAAGGTTAATGGTAACTACACAATCAATGAGGATGAAACCTGAGAGCACTTGCACTAGCACATTTTCCTGGTCGCATCACTATGAAGCAGACTTTTAATGATACCACACTTCCTAATTATACAGTTAATAGAGAAGTATGGGGTAAAGCTAGAAATACTGTTAATGCAAGAAGACTGGAATGGGCAGTATATTCATTGTCTCCTTATTAATCTGAAGTTTTGGATGATATCCTACTTGTATTGATTCAAAAACAACTTTCTATAGCTTTTAAACCCAGCTCAGTGCTTGGATACCTTCCATTTAGTTGGAGAGGATCTAAATTGCATTTCATACCAAATTCTGAGAGTGGAACATATGATGAACCGAAGTCTTTCAGGCCGATATGCATGACATCTTTCCAAATGAAGACTTTGGAAAAGATTTTGGACAGGTATATAAGAGAACAACTGTTGACTTTAAATTCTTTACATTCAAATCAATTTGCTCACCAACCTGGTAAACCATGCAAGGGAAGATCTGGTGAAGACTGCGACAGATGTCTTGGAGTGATGGTGTCAATCCAGCTAAGATAAATATGTGATCTTCACCATGAAGAAAAAGGTGGCAATAAAGGTACCCAAAATTAATGGCATCCAGCTCTAGCAAAGAGGTGAAGCACTTAGGTGTTATGCCGACAATAAAATGTCTATGGAATTGAAAAAATCCAGTAGGAAAATTATGGGGACTTAAATTACTAATAGTCTTCTAAATGTATGTTACAGTGATTACACCTATGCTTTTTTTTATTTTGCCGTAATGCACTCTGACACTCAGGTCAGAGAATTTCTAACAAGGAACTACAATGTAAATATCGACACTTCAGGGAAACATAGACCCATTAATGGAATTAATTGTTACACTGATGGATCATTAATGACTTGCGGCTTTGGTGTCGGTTTTTGGTAAAAGGATCAACCAGAGGAGAGCATGACTATATCACTTAGTAAGTATGCAATGGTATTATAATCTGAAATATTGGCAATATCTCACTGTGTTTTCAAAGTTGTTGTTTGATGGGTTAGTGGAGAGGAAGGTATCCATCCATACTGAAAGTCAAGCGGCAATACGAGGGCTGGGAAATCATGAATCAGTCAGAAAAGCTCACAAACAACTGCCGTAACGCCCGAACCTATCTGCGGCATTGGCATGTGTCTAATCAATAGCAGAATCGTGAAAATATATGGTGCTGTAACTAAGAAATACTGGTGCTCAAAAAAACAGACTCATTGAAGGTTGTTCTTGGTTCGAATGTGTGAAAAGAGAAGCAATCTGCTAATTAAGAAATTCTAGGAGGGCAGATGAAGTTGTGAGGATTTCGGCAAAAAGATATTCAATGTATGGAGAATTGATTAAGGAAGAGCAATGAAGGATTTTGGATTTAAGGCTGTCATGGACAAAGAGACCTACTCCACCACCCGTACGGTCTACTCTGTAATGGCGAAGGAGAGTATAATTAGGTAGAAGTATCTGGGAAGACGGGATTGCGGGTTTCAACCAGGTTTCGGATACAGCAATTAAATGGTAGAAGTTATGGAGAAAAGTCATAAAATTCATCAAAATGGGTTAAGAGTGACTGAACAATGACATAGCAGGTTAAAAGGATATTAGTCATGGAAGAAGGAGATGTGGTTTGGTAAATGGACGGGAGGAACAAGGATAGGAATATTTATACAGTAGTTAGAGCCAATATGAGCCCAGAGACCATAATTAATGATAATATCTTTATTGAGAAGAAGAATGAATTTATAAAATTTTCCAGATATTAATAATGAGGGAAAACAGAAAACATAAAATTTAGTCAACGAAAAGTATGTTCCTACTGTGAGAAGGAAAAAAATGACATAAATTAGAATTTTTAAGCAGATCATACCTACAATTTTCTCATAAGCAAAACTAAAATTATTACCTAAGTAAATTAACAAAATAAAAGCAACAAAAACATAAACCCGAAAAAATAAAAACAAAATAATGAAACATGTGTGTACATGTCAAGCAAATATGTCCAAGCCTGATGGTGAATTAATGACGACGACCTGCTGGCCATCATCCCTTCGACACTTCACCTTACCTGCACCACTAAACCACACATATCTGATATTCCCGGTGGACCTATGTTAGTAGTTTAAAATTTAATGTACCAATGCAACAACAGATACTCCATTGCACAAGATCATAAAATAAAATGTATAAAAATAAATGAAAAATCCACAGTTGGAATAAAAAACACTAAGATATTAAAATTTGTTTCCTAACTTCAAAATGTATATGTGATCATACACAACTGCTAAGGCAGTTCCTTTTAGTGTCCAGGCGTGTTAATAAAGCACTGCTTACTTTGGCATTTTTAAGTCAAAAATAGTGCGGGTTAGAATCTGGCCTGGTCAGTTAAAATTGATTTCATGGAGAACCCACAGAATAAATCTCAACTTTTTCTAGCTAGAGTAGGTTGATTACCTGTAGGACAACCCATATATCCATGCTCTAGTTGCAATACATAAGGACATAAATTACAAATAAAATACAAACTGAAATATATAATCAAACTATGCTTTTTATAATTAAATCAACCATTAATATTAATAACTAAAGTTCTAAAAACAATTAAATAAATGCGTATTTAATAAAAAGAATAAAAATACCTGGCATATAGTTAAATACGTTGGTCGAAAATTATGAGAATGCTGTGAAATTGAATGAGCTTCATCAATACAAGCAAATGCGATTGGAGGTAAAGTTTTCAAAAGTGATTTAGCAGAGTCCCAAGAAGACAATGATTCAGGTGCTATGAGAAGAACAGATATGGTCTGGTTTTTCAAGGCCTCCAATACAACTTCACGTTTTTTTTGTGTCATATTATGGTGAAGACAAGCAGCATTAAGTTTTTTGGAGCCACAGAATATCTAGAAAATAATTTTTTTTTTTAATAACCGCCACTCCGGACGATTTCTTTCCTCAGAACATAATAATAAACTTTTTTAAATATTAAGTAAATACAAAAGTAAATAAAAATACCAAATTTTACACAATTCTAACGATTAATTTCAGAATTATGGGCATTTCAACTTTTGAGATATTTGAAGTTGGGAAGACATTTTTGACATGTACCTGTTTGGTTTCCCTATGTAAAACCAATATTTATTGAACTAGAGCTTTTAAAATGTATTCATTTTTCATAAATTTAATGCAGAATCTGCTGATACTTTAAGTTTTAGCATTCTAATTTTTCCTTATGTATAAAAAAATTATTAAACATAAATTTTCAAAGTTGTGATAAAAATATCGACAACTACATGTAGCTAAAATCTATCTCCAAATACCCAAATACAACAGCATAAAATTATCTATCAAATGAAAAACTAATATTAGTAGGCTTTTGAGTATTAAGAGTTACATTACAATTTATGCCTAATATAGTAAAATTAAATTTACCAGTTATAAAAATACAAGACAACATTGATAATAACTCTCTCTCAAAACCCTAATACAAAAATATATATATATTAACTCATTTTTCATGAATGATTTTAATGCATGATGGTCATAATGGAATAACATATTGGTAGATTTTCTGATTGAATGTTTCTATTGATTTCAATTCAGGGAAAAAATAAAATTATAAATACAATTTCAATTAATCTTAAATAACAATTACTAGATGTTTCTGTTCTCTTTAGTTTCTCTTTATCACTTTGTCTTTTTCAGCCTCCTTTCCATTTTTTGTTTAGGTATTTTGTTCCCAGAATTGGTTTCTCTCTATCTCTGAAACTTTTTGATGCTCTCCACACCACTATGTCCTACATCTATTGAGGTATTTGTTTAACAAAAATATTTTGACCTTTACCACAACTTCCTGTTTTAATTTTTTTATTTCTTTTTATTCCTTCTTTTTAGTCACCATACTAAATCAAATTTATTTTATATAATGCGCTACAATACTATTATGTATTTTGAACCATGTGTTTCTATTTATGTGTCAGGGTGATTACCAGACAGTTAAATTAAAATTCCCTGTCATTTCTATATTTAATGATAGTTTTTTCAATACATATATTAAAATATATTTTTTTAATACAAATATTTAAAATGTTTAATTCATAACTAAACTTATTCATTATATACTTAAGAAAATTGATAACGAAATGATTTGAGTAAAAAATATAAAGACTTCTTAAATAACAAATATAATGTTTTAGAGTAAGCATTGTTTAAGTGTTTAAGCAGGTTTTTTTTATTTTAGAAAACTATGCTTTTAGTAATTAATTTTTATCACCCTTTTTTTATTTTCATAATCTGAGAGGAGGTAAAAGTTGATATTTGACAAAAAAAGTTGTGATTTTCTCTATCATAAAATAATGTGAGCTACAGAGGATTCTAATAGTAATGTAGTTTCTAATTAGTAATTCAGTTTCTTTATTAAATTTATTACAGCATATTTATCCATACGACACCAACTGTGACATTCCTAGTTAATAAATGTTCTTTTAAGGAGTGTTAGTTGTCAAATGAATGAATACTTGCCTGCCAATGAATTGCACTGACTGTAGTCACAGAGTGTGTGAGACATCGATAAAACAAGTGATAGTCAAAAGGGACAAAGTCTGGTGAATACTGTTGGGACTAAAGTTCCCAGCCAAGTGAGAAAACGGTGTCTTGGACCATTTTTGCTTTGTTTTGCTCTGTTGTTGTACAACAAAACTACATAACCGTTTCTTGTAGCTCAACTGGTTACTTTCTGATCAATGGTTTAAACTGACAATTTGTTGATGGCAGTGAACTTTGACTGATTTGTCTGGTTTCAGAAGCTCTTTGTACACAACACCATTCTGACCTTACCAAATACGCAAGGATTGTCTTATTTCCAAAGCGATTTGGTCTTATGATTGATGTAAAGATTGTTCCGGGCCAACCATGGTTTTCTGAGTTTTGTGTTCTCTAAACACACTGACAAGCAAAAAATTCCACCCACTTGATTTTTTCATGTTTTCATCTAAAAATATTTCTGCCACTCGTAAAAAAAATTGTATTTGTATATAATACATGGTATTTGTAGATAATACTTAGTATTTAAGGAATTTTATAATCTTTTTTACCTTTAAAATAATCAAAATGTGATTGGGCAAGAAAGATTAGAGAAAAAAAATTGAAAAACGAACCATTATTATTCTAATAAGAATAATAACCATTATTATTATTCTAAAAGAAATTAATTACATCATCGTTTAGTAGCGCGTGTTTCCTCCTTTTGCCTTCACTACTTCTTGAAGACGCCTCGGCATACTTTCCACCAGTCTGGAAATGTCCCTTTGGTGGTCCCTTTTCTTTTAGAGCAGTGGATAGAATTTGATAAAATTGATATGGGATCATCTAGACACCTTACCGCACAATCTCTAAAAATTTCATGAATATTGGATAAAAGGTAGTAGGTGATATGCCCATCAGATCAATTTGACTACAGACAGACAGATAGATGCTGAACCAAAATCCTTAATGTTTGAAACGAAAAATGCGAGCGGAAATTTTCGATTTTGAGCACATTTTTTTTAACCTCTAGCACGAATACGATGCTTCCCTACTGGTAGTGAAGAAGCAAAATATGCATACAATTGAAATAGAATGTTATAGTAATTTTTTAAAAATAAATATCAACAGAAATAAGACAGTAAAGTTGGGAAAATTGAAATATTTTAAAATTTGATTAATTTCTGTAGCATAAAAAGCTACCTCAATCAAATTGATCAAAAAAACAATTATAACTAACTACCTATCCAGTTGGAATTGTCCATGATGAAATTCAGCTTTATGAACATGACAACTTCATTTAAAAAAAACATATCTCCATTTTCAGCAAATACTAAACACTTTTTTATTAATATTCCTCTCTACTAGCTTAAAACTACAAAAAAACAAAGCAAATACTATTTTAGATTTGTTAATAGTTTCAAAGCTATGAGTGGTGATAGAATTAGAATCAGGAAAATTTCACTTTTTTACACATCAAACAGATCAATTTACAGCTGATTCCAAAAATTTTTATGAGGTGTATCTCAATGAAATTCAAATGAGCATCCTTGCCGATTATATAAGTATTACTAGAATTCAAGGACAATGGTTTTTGCTATAGATATGAAGAAAAACATAACATAAGAGAGAAAGTGCTAGGTGGCCATCTTTGATCCATATTTTTCGGATAGAAACAGGCATGCAAAAGGAGGGGGCTTTTCAAGATTAGTTCTACAATGATGAGAAACTAATACCTATATCTACAACTAGAAACTAATATCTACAACAGATTATGAATTATTTTGATATCAATTTATTACTGGAGTAGTGACAAAATAATTTTTGAAAAAAACAATGAATGATTAATATTAATATTTTCCTTACTTGATCTTCCATCAGTGATACCAACGGTGATATAACCAATGTGATGCATCCTGGATAAGCTTTATTATACATGTAAGCAGGAAGCTGATAGATGAGGGATTTGCCACTACCAGTTGACAATGTAACAATAGTAGAAAGACCAGATAAAATCCTCATTATTCCTTCTTCTTGTCCAGGTCTAAATTCACTATGACCCAGATCCTTCAATGCTGAATAAACTTCCTTTGGTGTATCTAAACAACAACTATATTTTACCTAACTGAAGAATACAATATGTAATAAAAAATATATAGTTTGTATTATTTTAATGAAGAACATAATCAAAAGTAGCAATGCCAAAATCAGTTACTACAATTTTGTGAATAAGTGAGGTTTTGAGCCTTTTGGGTCAAACTTACCTTGGCCTTTCACATATTCAAAAAATAAACCAGAAATGTTATTTAAAATATTACATCTGAAGAATGCAGTAAAAAAATGAATGGAAAATCTGATTTCGATAGGTGTTTAGAGTAAGATTATATGCACTAAATTCTATATGTTTTTAAGAATCGGTTCAAAAATAATAATAAAATATTGTACCTATTAACCACAATGAACACTTGAATTCCATAAAATATTTTTTAGCGATAAGAAAAGCTGTAATTCCTTTTTTTTCACCTCAAAAAATCCTTATGTAAGAATTTTCTTTGCAAACAAAAATTTTGTCCATAATATAATGCCCTCTATTAATAGTTCTTACTCCATATTTGTTTATAGCATTATTGTAAACTGTATACCAGTTTAACACAGCAAAATAATTCCATTTTTCAATTGTAATGTAAATTTCTTAGGGTATAATATCTACGCAACATGCCATATAAAGCTATAATACAGATGGATCTCATAAGACTCACTAATAGAAGGCAAAATATTAAATAAAAATTTTAATTTTTGTTTCTAACAGGCTGTTAACAATTAAGCGTGTTTCAAGGTGCACAGTGACCAAAGGTAAAATGACCATAGGTGCAAAGTGGGTTCAAATTTATTTTAAGGAGAATCAAAGTTGAAATTTGTAGTTTGCTGATTCACATTAAAATTAACAAAGAACTAGGGCAATATATATATAACATAAAATGACCGAAACCAGATACCCGTAAATAAATTAGAACTGAAAATATAAAATAAAAACGTTTGGGGTGTTTATATTTAAGGCTCCTACACACAGAGTGCAATATGTATCGGTGATAAGGATATTCCTGTGGGCATTATTGCATTATAACAGTCACACAGAATACGATAATCCGCAGTGACATTGGGTATCGTTTTGCTGCCTTTATTTGTTCCTTTTAAAGGTGTAAAATCTAAAACTTGTTAATATGCTTTGGGCGAACAATAATTCAGTTTTTCAACAGATGTAACGTTGAATTAGGAGAAAATTTTAATGAGTTAAGAATGCTCTAGTAGTAAAAGGCATTTAAAAAAAAAAAAAAAAACTTCCTCCATAAATCAAGTTTAAAAAATTATGTTTTTTTATTTTCAAACAATTCGTAATTAAGAATTATAAAGGACACCTGAAACGAATATGAATCTATTTTTCATCACAAAAAATTACTTGGCCTACCTTAGAGGACGTATTATTTTCATTTTGTAATTTATTATGCATTTGAATTTGTTTAATAGAAACAGCAATATGTTTTTCTTATTTTACACAAAAAATAAATCAATTAATATATAATAACCTAGAAATCATTGCCCAGTAAAAGTAGGAAACCACATAAAAGAAGTCAAAATTTTTAAAATATGTTTTTTTTTGGCTCCTAAGCCACATTAGCACGAAACCTTGGACGTGTCTAATATTTTTTGACCTAGCATCACAAAAAAAATCATTGCAATTGGTGACCCAATGCCCTTAACTTCCCATTGTTAGATATGATGGAAATTGCATGAAACAGTATAATTAATTTTTATATCATTTTCCTGATTGAACGAGGATTATTTGTTTAATTATGTAAGTGTATCATCTTAACATATAGATTTTTATATGCTGTAAGCACATCATAAAGTATAATTCCTTAAAAATGATTTTACAAACTTAAAATTACATAACTTACCTATTAAAGAACCATCAGAAGAGAGTTTGAATAAAGGTTCAATAGTTGTTGAATAACATGGCTCAGAGATTACTGGGATTACAGAAACAGCCTACAACAATAAGATTTTATAGAATAATTTAAGCATTTTGAATTGTTTTCAACATTATTGCACAAGTTTGTTTTGTTTCATAAGGTAGGACCCTAAAGAATTGTTTGCTGAAGAGATTGTTTTAGTTTATAACTATTTTATTAATCATTAATATAATCTACTGAAAAGATAGCATTTTTTTTTTTAGATTACTGAACAGTATTTTATACAACTTTAACAATTATCACTAACAGTTAAAGTAATATTATGAAATATAAACATGAATGAAACTAGTAGTAATAGAAATCATACCCCTTCTGACACTGTAAATTTCCTTCCATGTTTATGGGCTGTTTCAGCTGCCTCTTTGGCCATTTCAGCAGCTTCTTCCAAAGTAGGAAAAGGAGATTCATCAGCACTATCATATTCGTCAATAGGAAGTAATGCATTTATTTCTGGAATTTTAATAAATCAATGAACATAGAAAAACCTGATAAAGGAAACAGCAACTCATAACAAAAAAAACTTTATCACTACAAACACTAGAGTTCATATTTGTAAAAATTAAGGAACTACAAATAGTAGAATTTAAATCTCTAAAAAGTATAGAACAAACAATAAATGATTCAGATATAATATGTAATCAACTTACTTTTGGGACAAGCTTTAGAAAAATGACCAACATCTCCACATTTATAGCACTTAATGATTCCACCATTACGACTTGAATTATATTTCTGCATGTCTTTCCATTTCTGTTTTTTATATTTAGAAAATGTTATAGTTTTCTTTCCTCTAGCATACCGTTTTTTTTCAATATTTATTTTTACAAAGTTTTTATTTGCATCTCCAGAAGCTATTTTTTTTTCAAGCATTTTCTGTTTATGATCAATGTTTTCGTCTTCAGCTATCACTTTGTTTTTGCTGTTCCTATATGGTAGAATAATTTCTGGTTTAGTAACAGATTGAAAACTATATTCTGTATCAGATTTTAGTCTCTTAGCTAAAGGTACATCATCAAGATCGTAAATTAAACTTCTTTTTTTATCAATAATAAAAGTTTCATGAGATTTATTCACACTTCCACCACCAATAGAATGGTTTTTAATTGGTTTAGGAATAATATTTTCTAACTTGTCAGATGATTTAGCAAAGTCGTCACTAATTAATTGCTTTGTAAATGTTTTTGGTACACCAATATCAATACTACGATTTAGATTGTCAAGCAAATTCAACTTATAAACTGAATTACTTTGAGTTTCACAATCAGAATCATAAATTAAATCTTCACTGTTATCATCGTCAATAAATGACTTCGATTCAGGGGACACAATATTGATAGTGTCAGATAGAGAATCTGTTTTGATCGAAGAAATTCCAGAATCTTGTGATTCAGCAAGATTGTTTTCTAGTTTCTTATTGACTATATTAGACTCATTAACTCTTTCAAGCCATCCTTTATCAACAATTCTCGAAACAGAATGTTGTAAAGTGTTACAGCTATCTACTGATCTCTGAAGTAAACTAACAGGTTGATTGGACAATTTCGAACTTTGAGTAACAATTTTAAACTTCTCTTTAAATTCTAATGTCCCATTATCTTCTTCAGTTGGAGAGCTAAGAGATTCACTCTGTGGATAAACTGATACGTGATTATCTTTATGCAATAATGTACCACAGTCTATTTCAGATTTACTGATTGAATTATTTGATATTTTTGAAACAACCAGATTCTTTTCTACATCCTCTGCATTTTTTGAATTAACAAAAGATCTTGGTTTCCTCGGATTCCGTTTATTGAATTTTGACCCAGCATAAAGTTTTTCAGCATACTGGAAAGATAACGATTTAGCTTCAAACTTTTTTATTTCTTTTTTTTCAGATTTTTTAAAATCAACTTTTTCTATGAACGAGGGGTCAGCTACACAGGGCCTGTTTTGTTTGCTAAATAAGTTTTTAAAACTTGTAGGTGTTAATTCACTAACATTTTTATTTTTAATTTCATTTTCAAGTGTTGTTTCAGTAAAGGAATCAGATTTAACAGGTGATTTTTTACAAACATTTTCCTTTTCATTTTGAAAAGCAAAATTAAAGCTTGACTGAGTAAGTGTTTCTGAAACAGCACGGAAACAAATGCTGTCATCCAAGCCGATAGTACCATCGGTAGTGGTCATATTAGAATCATTTTTGAAAGAAATATCTTTGTCACCAGTTTCAGATGAAGAATTAAAACAATCTTTTGCATTTTCGTCTTCATGAATGTTATAGGTTTTTTCTGATCCTGACAAATATTTCTTTAAAGTCCAGTAGGTTTTATAAGCATCTTTTATTTTTTTAGGAGCACATTTAATATCACTCTGCAAAGTAAACAAACAAAAATTAATTAATAAGTTCATAAATATTTTTAAAATTGGCAATTATGTTAAACATATTACAAATACTAATTTTACGATATTTTTTAGTAGTAACATACAAAAGATAATAGTAACAAACTTATTTATCGGAACAATTTTACAAATGTCTTTTGTCACATTTTTAAAAGTTGTTTGTGAACATCTCTGTGATTATCATGAATATTTGATTAGAGAAACCTCCCAATGAAGGCATTCATAAATTCACATTTCTACTAATGTAGCAAATCTCTACTATAGAGACCTTTAAGTTTCCTTATCATGTTCTGTGGTAGTGGGTTTGTACATCAGAATTTCCAATAAATGTGACATGATAATTTTTGAAATATTTCTGAATTATAACACTCACAAGTGGTATTTGTAGGTCTTTATGAAATGATTTATTGGTTACATAGAAGGAACAGTGAGAGATATACAAGAAAAATTTGGATTGGTAGGTATGATTTTTCGCAGAAATTCCAAACCTGAGTGTCATATGTTCATATTGGTCTAAGTAGCATATTGTATTTAATAATAAGTGACAGTTTGTTTTGATGGTGTAGTGAGTCTTGGTAGTGAGAGTTGGAGATTTAATCTTTTTTATAATTAGTCACAAGTGATTTCCAGGGCAGTCATCTGTCCATTGTGAGTCCCAAATATTTTGTTTCTGTATGGTTTGGGGCAAAGGAATGTAATGAAATGTTAGTGGATACATTCAAAAGATAGTGGCAAAAAGTAAAAATGAACTAATAAAATGAAAAAGTGGGACTTTAGAAAAGGAAGGTCTTCCCTCTCCTCCCTTCCTTGTCTTTTTGACAATACGGGATTCTCTTTTTTTTTATACAACAATAAGTTTGGCTTTTTTGTTATATTCTTCTTTTCTTGCTATATTGCTATCTTGGAGTCATCCCAGACTGAGACTGAGAAAGTCTCCGTCTAACTCCCATATTGAAATGGGCTGCATCTATTTGTTTCTTCCACCCATACACAAATGCCTCGTAGTATGGGTACTTATTTGCAGCGACGAGAAGAGGCAAATCTCCTTCGTTGATACTGTAGATATTTGTGCTTCTTATTGGCTTGGCCCTCAATGCCTCAAACGCAATGCAGTTGGTGATCACATGCCTAGCAGTTTCCAGACTACCACAACTGGAGCATAGGGGATCGATGTCTTGTCCAAGACTGTGTAACTTGGAATGAAAACTCCCATGCCCAGTGAGGAATTGAGAGACCCAATCGCCTGGTTTGACCCATCTGGCTTCTAGACAAGACTGTATGGTGGGAAAATACTTCCTTAGGGTAGCCCCCTTGGTGGTAGTGATCCACCGTCTGTTCCACTCTTCGACAGTAGATTGAGAGATCAATATTGATTTCCATCTATTGGGCCAGTCCTCAATCCTCACTCGAAGGTCCTCCGGAATCTCTGCCAAGCCTTCTCTCCTATAGGATCAAGTCCTCTTACAGGAATCGAGAGGTATCTCCTGCTAAGATCTGCGAGACTCTGTTTTATATCCTCTGGAGACCCGCAGTAGAGCCGTTCTCTGGATGGATGCTAACTTGTTCTTCTTTCGCAGGGGGTGATTCAGGTACGATGAAGGGGATGCATACCTTAATATACCCAGCACCACTCCTTTGTAGATAGTCTTGGTCGCTGGGTATCTAAGGCCTCAGAAAGCTCCACCATCACGACTAAGACCATTTGGGGCGACTGTCACTCTGTTTGCCGAGTTGTCCAAGTGAGGTGTTATATTAAACTTTCTTCCAAATCTTACACCAAGGAAGGTTACCACCTCACTTGGACTAATTGTTTCTCCTTGAATCTCCAAGGCGATTGGATGTTCCCCCCTCAATCATGCCCCCTTACTAGGATTACTTGGGTTTAGGCAGCAGCCATTCTCATTCTCCTACTCGCACACCAGGAACGTATCAAGTTAGCGCATCTTTCTGCCTCCAGTGTGACTCCTGCTCTGCTATCGGATGCCACCACAGCAGTTAAGTCGTCAACATACGGCATTACTGGGAACCGCTACTCTTCTAATACCCCCAAAAGCTCACCAAAAACTAAGTTCCACAGAGTAGGACCAAGAACAGAGCTCTGTGGGCATCCTCTCTAGACGATTCTCTCAATCTTGTAGAAACTAACTCCAATCCTCACATATGTGTCCTACAGGTAGCTTCTCAGAAGAGCATATAGGTTGCTGGAGAGTATCATATCTCTGCAACTGATGTAGAACGTGGCCAGCAGACTTTGTAGAAAGCGGATGATATGTCAAACAGTAAAATCATGACATACCACTATCTTTTTTCTTCAATGCCTCTTCGCACTCGCAGAAGAGCATCTGTGGTTCCAGCGATTCTCCTCCAAAAATTACAACAAGAAATATAAGTAAATTGTTCAAAATAAGAATAGTTCAGACTACTTCCTCACAAGGGAAGCTCTGCATTCATGACTGAAGTTGAAACATGCTCGAAATAGTAAATTTCTATTAGCGTATTACCTTTTAGATACCAAGGTACACATTTGCTTCCTTATCCTGTAGTCAACTCCATGTGACGGGTAAATCAACTACCTCTGTTATTAGGCATTTTCTTAGATATGCCTATATTTCAGAAATGGCCTGTTCGATTTGGATCTTTGGACCGTTGGATTTCAGATTGCGCAATTGCACACAAAGTTTGTGTAATTTTTTGGGGTTAATCGGTATAAAAGTTCACTAGGATGTTATCGGAGGCTCTTTTTATTGAAATAAGGTTGGATTTGTTATTCGGCGATTGTTCATCAAGGTTTTCTCATAAAAAGTGCCCCCGACAACAGGAGAGTGTACCCTAATATCGACTTAATCCGAAAAGTTACAAAAACTTGATGCATCATTGCGCAATCTTCAATTCGACAGTATTTTCATTTAAAGTACCCACTACAACATAATAGCAGACTCTAATATCGATTAAATCCGAAAAGTTAGGAAGAGGCAATTTTAAAATAAGTTTATGAGGTGCAATTTAATTTTTTTTCTTCTTCAAAATAGCTCTCTTAATAACTTAAAGTAGCTTTATTTTTTTTTAAATGTAAATTTAATTTTTTATAAGTTTAAGCAAGAACAAATTATTATTTAGTGAATTTTTTTGTCGAATAAATTACATCCAGAGGATATTTTCTTGGATTAAATATTTATTCAGACATATGTATATCGAATAACTTTTTTCCCCAATTAAAATATTGAATGATTCTCAGAATAAATCAGAACTACAGGTTATTCTACGAATCGTCAATTACTAAAAGTTTATTGAATAAATAATTCGAATAAAAATTCATTCAATAACGCTTGACTATGCATCCCACGTGGTACATGCTAGGGGTTCGGGGTTGACATATTTACTGCCGAACAGTAGATTCTAAATTTTCTTTATTTACATTATTAAAATATTTTAAAGTTATCTTTCTGGAATGAAATGGTATTTCAATCCGGCATGTATAATGTATAATCTTATAAATAATCGGGCACACGTAATATTAAGTTAGCTAGTTCATAGTACAGTAAAATTAGGGATTGACTCAAACACCAAAAAAAAAATTGAAAAAAAAAAAGACCTCTGAAAATGTCCATTACCTTTCCCATAACTGGTAACATTCCCAAAGTTTCCTGCGTCAGATTTTAGTGGAGAGAGAAGAATGATAGAAAACTGACATTTATTTAAAATATCCAAAAAAATATGAGGTGTTTTCCAAATATTGTTCAGTATAATATTAAAGTATTTTAAAATAAATATATACATTATTAAATCAATTTCAACTTTTTCCAAGTCAAATTCAACCTTTTCCAAATTAAATCAAAATTTTTCCATTTCAAATTCAGCTTTCTTATTTCAAATTAAACCTTTTACATTTCAAATTCAAATGAGTAGTTTTTAAAAATAATCTACATTTTAAGATTATGAAACCACAGTTGGGACAAATTTTTAATTTCTTTAAAAATCTATATTATACATCACCCCTTATTGCCAAATTATAATATTATAGAGTCATTCCATACCAAATTGACCAGGGCCTGACCTATTGGGTCTTTGATTTTAATAATTTTTTGGTTATTTGCTGAATGCATTAATATAAAGAAAAATACAAAATTTTAGATTTTTTGCATTTCAGTTCTGAGTTATAAATTTTTAAAGTAATAAAAATACATCGAAATTGGTACGTTGCTGAAACCGGTGTCATCTTTTTCTGTTGTTTATGTTCTTTCTTTTAATATACGACGACTATATTCTAAAATTATAACATTTTTTTTTAAGATAACCAAATTATTTAATTTTGAATTTTGAAAAAGAAAACCTTTTGATTTTTATTAAAAAATTATGTGTTATTCTAGCATATGGTGGCTAAAGGTGTGCTAAATTTCAAAGTGGAGAAACAATTGGTTCATTAGATAACAAATGTTGACTTACAATAGGTACACTAAATACGCTGTCAAGCTCCACCAACATTAAAATATACATATTTTAATTTGAAATGTATGTATATATATTTTTATTCAAATGTTACTTAGATGTAAGTTTATTCAAAGGAATACAAAAACTTGAATATAATATTTACAAATGAAATTGTAAATATGTATATAGGCCTAGATTTATTGTATTTTAATTAATTAGGCTTAAGGTGCATTAAATATTATGCTTTATATACTTCCTCTATACTTACTCTAATATTGGCACTTACCTTATAAGGGCGTATTCTTATGTTTCCGGAGCCATAGATTTTTAAAATGACCTCCATTTTAAAACCTACGTCTTCGATAGCAGATAAGTAGACTTTACATTGAATAAATCCGAAAAACTTAAAATAAGTCGAAACGCAGTGGCGTAATCTTAAAACATTTGAATACACCCTTATATCGAATAAATCCAAAAAACTTAAATAAATCGAAACGCGGTGGCGTAATCTTAAAATGGAGATTATTTTCCAAAACTAGACA